AGGAGAGGAGAGGAGAGGAGAGGAGAGGAGAGGAGAGGAGAGGAGAGGAGCTGCTATTGACTGTCATGTCAGATCATAATCACAACCAGATAAAAGACTATAACTGAGGGAGTCTGACGTTCTGTCTGCAGTGACTCTACAGCTGTCTGAGGATAAAAAAGCTATGTTCTCAATAGATGATGGATGGATGGATGGATGGATGGATGGATGGATGGATGGATGGATGGATGGATGGATGGATTTAACTGGATTTAACAGTTTAACTTTGATGTTTCAGCCTCTCATCTTTGGACGATGTTAAAGGTCCAAGTTATAAATCAATAAATAGGAAATCATGGGGAGTCATAGCAGAAGAACCCCACCCTCAGAATCCCATATGGTTGCCACCCATTCAAACTATTCGTTCCATTATCGGTAAACCCCCTGATGTAGAGGACAGATCAGGAGGAAACTTGCTGCAACTTTTATGTGATTTTTGTTAACATGGTCCCAGAGCAGAAGAATAATCCATGGTTGGTAGGATATTCTATAACCAGGTTCTCGCTTCGAAAACAAACAGAGTGCAGCCCAATTAGACCCTAAACCCCTATTTCTGAAGTTTCTGTTGGCGCTTCTTTGTATATTCAGACAATATTTTGCTTTGCACAACTTGTGTAAAACTGAAGAAAGTTTCCTGAAGTTTCTGAACCAGAAGTTATCAGGACTCCTCTGTGAACTGACCCCCACCTACCAACCCCCTCACCCCTCCAGTCGCCTCACACACAACCCCTACTTACGCATCACCCCCATTGTTCCCGGGCCTTCACTCACACATCAGGACAGAACAAAGCCCGCTTGGTGCACCACAGGGACCCTTGTTAGCTGTTGGCGCCCAGTCTCCCTCCCTGAGTCTGTTTGCCTTTGTCTCTTAGCCCCCCCCCTTCATCACCTTCCCTCCATCCCTTCTGGAAATTAAAACCCCCTCACCCTATCCCCTATCCCCCCAACTGACGCAATCCGCAAACCCGGGATGACAAATGGGTGGTGGGGGGGGGGGGGTTACGTTTTTTTGGAATGACTATGAACTGGATGACTGAGAATCTTCACCAGCATGTGTGGGGGTGGGGAAGTAAGAAATTTGGTCTGAATGGTTGCTAGGGGTAACCATATGGCAGCGGAGGGAGATGAAGGGCGTCTGGTGCGCGTCCCCGAGTGTTGAGGGACCTGCCATGGTCCCGCCGTGCGAGCCTCGCGCCAATTCCGCGTTACACAATTGGCTGAGAGACGGAGGGACGCACGAGCACTGGAGCGAGCAAAAGAGAGAGACAGAGAGAGAGAGAGAGAGAGAGAGAGAGAGAGAGAGAGAGAGAGAGAGAGAGAGAGAGCAGATGGGGTGGGGGGGTATGGGGCGGTGGGAGGATTTAGCGCCAGCAGCGTCTTTTAGCGTCCAACACAACAAGCTCATTAAGGTCCTCCGCGCGCCTGGAAACGGATTTACGCACCGAGCACAAGGAGGTTGGTTTTTCTCTTTACTTCATCTTTTCAGTGTTTACATTAACGCTCAGCTGCTGTGTATCTGTCCATCCATCAATCCAATCATCCATCCTTCCACTCATCCATCCTGTCTGGCTGTCTGTTGCGCTCCTTTTGTTTGCTCTGTTCTCTTCTAAAGCGGGCTGCAGGTTGAACGTTTAATTGTGACGCGCAGGTGGTTAATAAGCCACTAAAGGTCCGACTGAGGCTCTGCGGGAGCAGGCTGCGGGGCTGGAAGCATGCCTCCCAAAGGTCCTGGAGGGTCCGGTCCAGCGCGACGACTGGATGAATGGGTTCGAAGTGCGGGTCTGATTATCCATGATGTTGAGCAACAGAGTCCGGTGCTCTCATCAGGAATATTTAAAAATATTTCTCTGAGGTCTCTTGTTTTTCTTTGTCCGATTTACATTTATTTTCCCAGAAACGAGCGCTTAATCTGCCTGATCAGACGTGCGTGCACGCGCGTGTGCAGCCAGGAGAATAAGACAGACAACAAAACCAGGGCGCGTGGAGTTGTTTATGTAGCTTGACAGATACAAAAACAACTACGGCATGCGTTGCACTGGGAATATTCGGCGGAGCGCGCCTAAACCCCGCGGAGAACCGTGAAATTGTGTGTGTGTGTGTGAGTGTGTGTGTGTGTGTG